GACTACTCTATCATTGAGACTACTCGATCATTGAGACTACTTGATCATTGACACTACTCAATCATTGAGACTAATCAATCATTGAGACTACTCGATCATTGAGACTACTCGATCATTGAGACTACTCGATCATTGAGACTACTCAATCATTGAGACTAATCAATCATTGAGACTACTCGATCATTGAGACTACTCTATCATTGACACTACTCGATCATTGACACTACTCGATCATTGACACTACTCGATCATTGAGACTACTCAATCATTGAGACTTCTCGATCATTGAGACTACTCGATCATTGACACTACTCGATCATTGACACTACTCGATCATCAAGACTACTCAATCATCGAGACTACTGGATCATCAGGAAAGAGCTGTTAAAGTAACTTTTTGAAGTCCGACAGGTTGTCTGTCTGCCACAAGTTCAAGAGAAGAAATGTTCGGAGAAACATTTAGACTACACTAGTGGCAGACCTCTTCTTGCCCTCATTTACTTTGATTTAGTTTACTTAGATGATGAAACTGATCTCAACAGGACAGCACAACTCGTCATTGCACCTCCTTGTGTTAATGTGCTTGTTTTAAGCCCTGCTAAGTGCATAGATAATCTAAAAACAGCCAAATGAACATTTAAATCTGAAAAGAACATTTGGGAGGGAGACAGTTTTAATTTAAATACTTTGTTTCTCTCATCTTTCTGAAGGCACATGACAATAGTAGAGGTGCACAGATAAATCAGCTGATTTCCTTAATTTTGGGAGATCGGCTGATACTTAAAGATCGGTGGAAACTTTCATCTTCTCATCTACCTCCATAAAGGTCTGTAAATCAACCAGTGTCCCTTCTGTTCTGCTGTAAGCACTAATGTCCAATTCAAACATGTTTGTATTGTTTCATGGGTTGTTTTTGTATAGTGCATTTCATAAAAATAAGACTGGAACATTGAAGTTGTATTGTGACCTTATAACACCTGACAGTATCAGTTATTTAAAGGGATCCATGATTAGTTGTAACATTAGACTTTGTTTGATAAACATTTATTTTAACTGCAAAATACAGTCTGTAAAGACTATAGACCAGAGAGGGTTGGAGGACAACAGAGCTGCTTCATGGAAGAAGAACCTCAGCTTAGCCTGTTAGCTTTAGCGCCAA